ACCATTTTGTCTGACACTGAGAAGCGAATTTCATTTTGAGACAAAATTGATACTAATCAATTCAGTTGACATTTCACAAATCTTCCACAAGTCAATCAGAAGATTACTCCGCTTTCAAATAACATTTATCTAAAGATGGTTTTCTTCATATTTTGGGCCATCCCCGAAACTCCAGGGGTTACAATCACTTTTGCTCTCTGCCCCCCTGCACAAGCAAAGTAATTTGATTGGTTCTAGAAGAAAAAATCTGACCAATCACAGGCTGATATACTCCTTTAGAAGATTACAAAGGAGCGACACCCAACTTCAAAGCCATTACAATATACCTTTATGTGACCTCGAGATTTGCTAAATATACAATGTACATCAAAGGATCAAACAAGTTTTTCATATTGTCCACAACGTGTCGCACAGGGAACCTTCAATTTTGCCATGACATGTTCCAAAGGTGCAGAGAATGAAAGAGATCGAAATCCCTGAAGTATCAAAGATGACTTTGGGCTGAAAGTGGCAAAAATTATTGGGCAATATTTCATCGGTAGGTTTTTTTTTTTTACAAATATCAAAGTTTAGCAGAAAAATCAGAAAAGTTAGCACAATCAATTTGAAAATGTTTGTGTTTAAAAGATTAGTCATGTACTTTTACAGAAGGATGGTGTTTAAACACAGCAAGAATATACCTTCACTAAAATTTCCTTGTGACTTTACAAAGAGATATAGACATATTCCCTGGCATTATACATTCCTGCTATGAGCAGTCAAATCAAATTATCTTCTGTGCAAGACACAATTTATGTAGAAGTTTGAAGCCAACCCACCTGAACTTGGTGTGAATATGTTGGAGATTCTGGTGGCCAAGACATTGGTAGTGTGTCTTGTGAAATTTATTTCCAATTTGAATGATAGATCACATGATCGCTATATAAAAATAAACTCTTACAAATCTTGTGTGGAAAGTTAGTGCACTGTAACAAAACAGAATATTTCGAATGACCTAACAAAATTTACTGACAGATACACTATGCATAACCAGTGGGATTGCCATTTCTAAATTGTATCGGCCCCAATTTCTTTACAATACTGTATAAGAAAAGTCTGTGTGATGTTACTCGTGTCGTCAGTAGCTACTCAAAGTGGGATACCCAAAACAAAATGACACTTCAGAACCGCGTGTGGGCACCTCTTGTACAAATTCCTGCACAGATTCTCCTATGCATTGAATTCATGAGAACATTAATTTGGTTTAATAAAAATTAGAACTCTCTGTTCTAAGAGAATCAACAAAAATTTTCCGAAAAGCAAACATTTTGGTAATTTTCAATATTGAAATACCACAGAAAAAATTAGTACTGGACATGTGATGTTATAAACAGCGAAAAACTCCTGCACGACCATCTTTTGTCATGAGGTTAAAAAATTACCTGCATTATCATGATGTAGTATATGTCTAACTACATGCCGGTAGCTATCACTTTTCCTTAATAACATCATACAGACTCCAGTGGGAAGAATTACACAGAACAAATATAGATAATTTATCTTGTCTATGTTACATTTAATTTATGTGTAAGGTTATATCACTTTTGTGCAGATCAATGAAATTTCCGCAAAAGGAAACGACGTTTATCTTTTGTTGGAACCTTAACATGATCTATTCCAACTGTCACTTGTGTATTCCTTAAAAGTAGTAAATTTATCAACGTGTTTTCTTCTGCAAGACACAGCAAAACTGCACAGAATTTTAAAAAAATTGTTCATTCTTATCGTCTGAAGCCATTTAAATGCATTCCATATTTATTCTACTAAATGCCACAGGAGTGTGAAATTTTAAGAGGGTGATCCAAACCCACAAATTTTTCAGAGTGTAGGTTGTTAGGTACATCAATAGTTACGATATAAGAACAAACTACATGCGTATATAAAACATTGAAAAAAATTTAACTTTGACACTTTAGTAGGAAACTGAATTAAAAGTGTATTTAAACATTATTGTCATTTGCGCTAATACATATGAACAAACATACTTGTGTATGAAACGACACGAGGTTGAGTGTGTACAATTATATAACAATGGTGAAATCAATGTGGTTTTCATGATTGTTCAAACCCATATTAAATACCATCCATTTTTCTATTCAGATATTACACTGTTTTGACTCATCACCATATTTGATGTTAAAAATTACAATGTGCCTTTCGTAACTTAAAGTGACCGTATAAGTAAACATGCCACAGCACTGTGGACAAGAAACGTGAGCAAGGCTTTAAATACCAAAATAAAGAAAAGCTAAAAACACGCACAAAACACCCAAGCATACTGAGAGAGGTGGATAACCTCTTTGCTATATAATGTTTAAAATAATAAATGAAATGATTGCATGGCCGACAGGAGAGACACATTTTGTAGTCCTACCTAATCATTTAGTTTTGTATTTTTTGTTTCAACACCATTGTGTATGTCAATTGTTTATTTTCATTTCAATCAAAAAGAAAATGTTTCTATCAAAATTGTGATAATCCGACTCAGACACTTTAATTACACGCCATTAAGATGCAACTTGTATCAGTCAGATGAACAAGAGGCTCATGGGCCTTAACAGTCATCTGACATAAAATACAAGATTTGAAATTTTGAACTTAAGAAGAAGTCGAAAATGTGTTTTCAAGATGGCCGCCATGTTGGATTTCAGACCAACCCAAAATTAACAAACTTTGGTCAGGATCATGTCACGATCATTTCAGGTAAGTTTCAGCTCAATGAGACATGTAGAATTTAAGAAGAAGTTGAAAACGTTTAGGACGGACGACGCCGCACAAAAGGCGATGGCAATAGGTCATCACATCCTTCGGTCAGATGACCTAAAAATGCAGGTCAACTCTATTTTATCTTTTAATTACAAATTTGTATATTCTAGAGCTCAATTTCAAATACATGGGTATATATTTCCTCACATGGTTAGTCATGCAAGGAAAATACACTAAAACAAGAATATCAGTGAAACAGATTAATATTCCCCGAAAAAAAATTTAATGACCAGGAAATCTTAACGAAGGGCAATAACTCTGTATATAAGGGGTTGCAGGCCCTTAATTTAGTACACTGCACATTGTCTTAGTATGATCAATGTATACACCAAGTTTTTATTGTCCTAGTTTAAATGCAAGCAAAGTTATGCTCTGGAAACAGAATTGGAACAAAGGTCAATAACTCTGTTAATATAATCTATCTAACGCATGACACAGTTGTAGATTTCATGTGTCTACATATTCCAAAGCTGTAGATTTCATATGTTTCATACATTATACAGCTGTATAAAGATGGCTTTCATTGCAAAAAGCTGTTTGTTCTGCAAAATTTTTGTTTAAAAAGCCATGTTAATCCTCCCCCCCACCCCCCCCCAAATTCTCAGTCCCCCCCCCCCCCCAAAATTCTCAGTCCCAACCCCCTCCAACCCCTCCACACATATCTTGTCGGTAAATGATGATTCTCTGGTTTGAAACTAAAATGTCAATTCCAGAGTTAACAAAAAACCTCATCAACTTATCAGATAAAGGACGGTGGTAACACGAAAAATTTCTCAGAAAAAACAATACTTGTATGTTTGTTAACAGGGTGATTGGACAGTCTGTTCTTCATTATTAACTTCCTGTAGCAGAGATCCTATCTAGTCCAGGTTGGTAGTCACGGCTCCTGTCATTGTTTTCTGGCCGTCACTGATCACGCCGTCGTTGTCACGTAGTTTATTGTTCATAACTCAAAACTACGGGCACATTATCTCATTACTCATTACTGTTATCTAAACGTCAAACTAACCTTCATATGTAACCACATAAGTGGAGTAAATCACAAACTGTGGGCATCTTGGTTTTGAATCTTCATGCCTTTTCGTCTACATGTTAACTGTGTGTAGTCTCTCTGTTTAATCACCACTGTCTGTCTCCCGTAACTAACTTAGCAAAACATTCATGTTTTCTTGTCGTATCTGTTCTGTTCATTTTTATTACTTGTGTAAGCAAAAAAATGTAAAAAAAACATTCATGTGATATTCAGCACCTTCCCTTTCCTATGTAATGCTGAGTTCAATTGAATTCTACAACATTACTTAGAATGTCTTCCTCAAAAGACAGAATAAACTTATAGAATATGAAGTAACATTGTTCAGAAAGGTATCGCAAAAAAAAAAAGTGATTTTAATCATGGTGGGGAATTGTGTGGTCTAAAGTTTGTGAATATCATGAATGAAAATGGCAGCTGCCACAGCAGAATGTTTGAAAGGAGGTAATTACTGAAAATGTTTTAACACAGGCATTTTATAGTTACAAGCATATGCTATGTTATATGCCAGACATATCCGCATATGCTATGTTATATGCCAGACATATCCGCATATGCTATGTTATATGCCAGACATATCTGCATATGCTATGTTATATGCCAGACATATCTGCATATGCTATGTTATATGCCAGACATATCCACATATGCTATGTTATATGCCAGACATATCCACATATGCTTTGTTATATGCCAGACATATCCACATATGCTATGTTATATGCCAGACATATCTCCATATGCTATGTTATATGCCAGACATATCAATACTTTATTTGTGCTGAAACAATCAGTACTTTTCGGTCACATTCTTACCAAAGTTTCTAATCAGATCAATTTTCCATGAAAAGGGAGTTGAGAATTATGAACAAATACTATTTCTGCGGTTTTCTATGCCCAGAAACAACGATAACTATAAAACTGATATTTACAGAAAGAGTCTAGAATTGATTGTACTAGGAACCATCCTGTTAAACAATATTGTTTTCACGATCAGTTTTTAAAATTTTTTTTAGTGACAAGACAAGACACACTATATTTAATTGATAAGTAAACATACCACTGGTTAAGTCATGAAGACAAGTGCAAAAAAATTACCTCAACAAAGATTATCAGCACCTTGACCGGCGTTTCAAATGACCACGGTGATTACGATATCACTCACCTGATTATCTATGTAGTTATCACATCCGTAGCACCAGACAGAGAGGTCAGAAAAACTCAGAGTGACCAAGTGCTGCTCTGTTACACCATGAATTACCATGTGTTCATTGACATATCTGCTACAGTAAACCTGTAACGATAAATATTTTTCTTTCAAATGGCTCAAAATTTTATGTCTTGTAATTATACATACTTTCTGGCTTCTTCAATCCATGAGTGAGATGTAACATGGTGCTTCCTGAAAGGGCACCTTGCACTCAGAAAACCTCTATAAATCAATATCAACAATCAATATTAATATCAATATCAATTTTATTTATTTTCTTTGTCGACTGAGAATTATGTAAAAGTGATGTTGAATATCTTAAGAACTTAAACCAACATTCCATAAAATACACACAAACCATTGGTTTTGAAAATTTCCAAGAAACCAAAACGACGAATTAAGTAAAAGTTTATTTTCCAGTTTAATACTTTGTAATTATGCTAAACAGGAAGTTTACAACCAACTTCCTGGTATTACCTTGTAACAGACGAGGCACACCCAGTTTTCTCCCTCATTTCCACAGTCCTGACAAGGGGCCCTTGTGTCTAGAAACCTCTGTGATAGGGGCTGTACTGTTTCTAGGTGAGGACACCAGGAGAGTGGCTGAACTGCAAACATCTGCTGATGACCCTGATATCAAATACACTAGTTTTTTTTACTATTTCTGATTTCAAAAAGCGATTTCACTCATATGTATATGATTCACATCAAAATTGAAGAGGTCGGCCATCTTATTATATATTTAATTATTGTTCTCATCAAGACACTATAAACAAAGTACATGCTGCAAAATTGAATAACACAGAAAAAGTCTATGAACATACTATCACAATTAACATAATTTTACAATCCTGCTCCAGTTTTTTTTATCTTCTGCAATGGCATAATAAAGGTTATCATTTAGCATAAACCTGAGTAAACTTTCCAGGATTTGGTGGTAGGATTTTACCTCAAATTGAAGTTACATGAAATGGTATAAGATACACACCATGTCCTCCAGCATTTGGGCTATAGAAAGAGCTTGTAATAGATTATCAGCCCCGCCCACTGCACCCATCATGTCGTCTATAGGAGCTCCTGCTTGTCCTCCTCCACACACATTTACTCTTGCTCCACCCACAGCTTCTCCAGCTCCAACCACATCTCCTCTAGCTCCACCCACAGCTTCTCCAGTGCCCACCACATCTACTCTAGCTCCACCCACAGCTTCTCCAATTCCACCCACATCTGACCTAGCTCCACCCACATTCCCTCTAGCTCCGCCCTCCGCTCCTCCAGCTCCACCCTCCTCCTCCATTAGATCAGATGATTTAGAAGATGTGGGTGTGGTATCTGGGACAGACTGTTTATTCTCTGTTATGGATACACCCACAGCTTTAGACTCTGACTGACTTGATACCTTGGCCTCTTCTCCTGCTCTGTCAAATACTACAACAAAGAAATAGAGACCAGTCTGTACGGTCTGATGTAATAAACTCGTCCAATGAAAGGCCATAATAGTGGACATATAACCTGACAAAATAAATAGAGAATACTGTGTTTTAAAATATAAGTTGTATTTTGATGACGGTGAAGAAAGACAAAAGTGGCGAGACTGTCCTGAATTTTGCCTGACTACAGATGCGTGGAAAAATAGATCCAAACTTCATTGGATATAACAGCGATTTTACGGATATTCATAAATTAACTTGTTCATTACAACAGGATGAATTGCTTATTTCAACAACTTTTTGTATTTTGAAATGGATTTTTTAAGTAAAATTTAGAAAGTAATTTTGTCAAATTACTAAATGGCAGCTGCTAAAATACAGTTGTTTTCAGTATTTTTTTTTCACTTGAATTCCAACAGCCATGTGAAGTGATCTGTGACTGATATTCAAAAACTGACCAAAGAACCAATACTGATACTCCTGAGTCAACTTCAAGCAGACATCAATATTTAAGTTCCAGTAAAATAACACAGAATCTTATTGTGAATTGAAAACTAATCTTTCAGCTATAGTTACAAAGATAAGAAATCCACGTAGAACTTTTTCTGATGCTTCAGATAATAATTCTACAGATGATAAAGGTGAGAGTTATTTCCCTTTTCAAATCATTCATCTTTAATTTTAATGCTGTGCACATACGCTACTGGTACAGTGTAGCAAATATGTAAATGTGAGACAAAAAGGACAAGTTTTGACATTTCCTTAAAGTAATATTGATATATCAGTATTATTACTTACTCATGCATTCTATTTTGTATTTGTTAATTTAAGTTCAAACTTAAAAAAATATCTGAAATCACATTGGTACTTACACTGAATTCACAAACTTTGACTTCTAAAAAATAGTATTTTTGAAATAGATCTACTTGGTATTTCATATCGTCAAGTCTCAATTTATAACGAGATATTACTAAAATGTGTATAATCATTCCTTGAATCGATTCACTACAGATTTGACATTTCAGCCTACAGAAATAATACCATGCATGACCATCAGATTAGCTATATAGAACTATCTGTAAGTGCTGTGTACATTTTTCGAAGCTGAAAAGAAAGAGATATTGATCTTATCTGTCCAATTTGCCATAATATCTCCCCCCATCTTTCCTGTATTGATTAACTTAACAGTTGTGTATTAAGAAAATTCTCCAGTAGCAATCATAAATACCTGATACGGAAGTCATTTTCTTCGCAAGTTCTTCAATATTCTCTTTGAAATCATCATCTTCTATTTTCCCCTCCTTCTCATCAAGTTTCCTGCAGAATACAATAAAATCATATGTGTTTATTTTTTATTACAGTTGATTAAAACAGTAGCTGATAACACTAGTTGTTACACTGATTCTGAGAACAGGAACTGCCAAAGCTTCCTTTCCATCTCCATGCTACAAATTTTGGTTTCTTACTTTCTAATATCAACTTAACTCACAGAAATTTAACAGAAAAGTTTATCATAACATGATGGTGATAATTTCATCAAGGATAGAAATAACCTACTCCGAAGATTTTTAGAACTTTAGTATCAATATGGCAGTTTGATGTTCTTAATGTAAGGCTAAAATCTGGTATAAAACTGATCAAAGGGCAGTAACTCTATTTATGATGGGGTATACCATGGGTATATAATTTCATATTCAAAACTGCCACAAGAAATTTGCATTATACACAAGACATATGTTTTGGATAAGGTTGTGTATGATGAATAAAATTTGTTTAGACTTTGGTGAAAAACACATTTTAAAAAATCTATTTATAAAGTTAAGCAGTAAAACCAGTCACTTTATAACAGACTTTGCAGTGTCTGTGGATGCTATAGAAAATATATAGATATAGATATGACAAATTTACATGTCGTTGATAAACTCAACAATTATTCCTTATAAACAGGGTACCTGCAGAAGTTTGTACCCAAGACAGTTTTATATCAGGCATGTATGTTAGGTTGTTGACGAGGTAACTGTCAGTACCAGCTAGCAGGGGAATCAAACTTTCGTTTTATTTTATTGCATGATATAGAGACAACCTTAAGAGCAGAGTTGGAACGAGAATGTCTTAGCCTTGACATTACTGACTTGAAGTCACCTGACACCACATCAGTTACACTATATCATTCAGCCATTTTGATATCACTGTTGCTTTCTGGGTAATGGACCAGAAATTAGAACACCATATCTCAAGTCTATTACAAATATAGACTAATATCAACCCAATGATTGGAACGCTGTTGGGAAAAGATCTGTCCCAGGTCTGAAGTTGGTCATTTTTACACCTGAAGGAGCATATTACTTCCGCATCTGTCCTTACACCCAACAAGGATTCCGTGGTTAAATACTCCCAGTACAGACATTATGATTCATCCATTAGGGCCTAAATGAGAGTGTAGGGGCTTCTTATGTCAAATCAATATGATATGGGGTGTCTTTCTATATTTTCAATCATTTATTTTTTGGACAGGAACACAGCTGCCAACATATATGTAAATAAATCAGACATATCTCTTTTCTGACTCTAACGGCGTTTTAATCTGGATTCACTGCTGAAAAAACAAGGTTCATTTCAATGGTCTGATGGGTACTGTCAAGTTTACTTCCAGATGCCTGTCCTACTTATCTGGTTTAATTTGTTAATTATTATTTTGTTCAAAGAAGATTTCTATTTTTTTTTCAAATATCTACACAAATGATATAAGTATTACAGGTAATTCTTGTAAACAAATAATCATGCCTTTCTTGTCATGACACAAGGTAAACTGTAGTTATGACCAGGCAACATCTGTCAATAGGTTCAGCAAAATTTATTGGTTTACATGTTTCGACATACTAGACTGAAAAATATTTACACTGAAAAAAAATTGAAACTTGACTTTCAACTGATCTAACACTTCTGATCATCAGATGTCAGACTTAAAAAAAAAAAAAAAAAATTTCATTTTTAAAGAAAAAAAAATTTCCTTATCTATATCATTTCAATTTGAATTTTTTACAATAATTTTTATTTTCCATTATACTGTGAATGACCAAATTATTTGCTAACAATATTCATAAGTTTTATTTCTGTTTTATTTCTGCCATCTTCCTGTGTATCAAGATCAAACCAAATCATTTCAACAAATTAATGTTCTTCTGTTCTTAGACACAAAAGATGTCCTTTTGTCTTACTGAAGCTTAGAAATACCAAAGGCATATCAATTCAAAGCTGATTTACACATCAAAAGTTTGACTTAAATTGTTATGCATGTACATCTGCTGCAGTAAACATACAAAACATTAAATCTCAGTGTTAACGTAGGATTAACACATAAAAGCGTTCAAAATTCACATTGGTTTTCTGCTGTTGTCAGAATTGATAGATCACTCCAATCAGCATCAAATGTAATTGAATTAACAGTGACAGAGTTAGGCATGGAATATCATGTCTTTCAGGAAGATCCTTCCAAGGCAATCCTACAGAGATCTCTCCTATATCATCACAGATTTCCGTTTCATCAACAGATGTCCCGGTGGGCATTTGTTTCAAAGCTGAATCTGTGCTAGATGTTGATAGAAAGTGACACTTAACCGAAACTCTACTTTCATTTGAACTGGTGAATTTGTGCAGAACATTATGCGTACATTTGTGGAAGAAATCTAGCCATTCGTAACGGTCTCTTGTTAGTGTTATCTGACTGGATGATCACAGTTGACCATAACGGTCAATACTAGTCAGTGTAAATCACTTTGGCTTAACTGGTCATAAACATTTGTTAATACACTCCCATCATTTGAGCTTGGCTTATCTCATCTTTAATTGTCAACTTCTGCCAGCAATCGCAAATCTATTGTAGGTTTTCAACTAATCATTCTCCTATATCTGGTCATGGACTATTCTCTTTGGTCATTTCATTGACCATAATTCCTTTAAACTAGCTGTTTCTGCAATACTTATGACCAGCTGGTCAGTTTGTGTCCAGTAATCTTCTGACCAGTCGGGGATTTATCTGCTATATTCAGGATTAAGAATGCGACATCTGCCTTAATCAGCCTCACCAACACTGAAAGCAAATCACAATATCTCATGGATGCATGTATAGGCAAGGCAGATTTTGTAACGATCCGATTCAATAATACGAAATGGCACCTTCTTTGCCTTTCCGTTTCCAGCCATTTATAAATCAACGCGGTTTTGATTTAAAATTGCAACGTCAATTTTATCAATGATTTGAGAATTTTATGGAGGGAACAATGTAATATATTCAGTTAACTCAGATTGACAGAAATTTATTTCTCTCAGCCATGATTAAATTTGATTGATTTTCAATAAAATCTTGCATGTAAATGAATCATTCAAGATTTCGTCTCTAAATTTTCATGCAATTCTGATAATTGTCAGTAACGTCCTGTAATAATATGAAATCATGATGAAGCTTGTGATGTAAACTTTGAGCAGGCCATAAATCTGCCATCTTAAGTCTCTGTGAGACTAAGTGAAAGTAAGTACATTGTAGAATATATATATATATAGTCATGCTTGCATGACTCATTGTCAGGGATTGACACTACATTTTGTCCAAGATGATTAAATGCAAAAATAGTTAATAGTTATTCTGTGTAAAAATCTTTCCTTTAAATCACTTGATTTTGCAATGTAGTGTCCCATTTATGAGTTGTTTGAAGTCTTTGATGCATTTGACTCCTATAACCTAGAAAGCTGTGCTAATTGAAAACATTATCTGAAATCAAAGCTTTTGTAGCCTCTAGATGAAATCTTTTAAACTTTTTCTTCGGGGTAAAGAATATTTAATTGGCCCTCATTTCAATATTTGTTTAATTTGCCACCTTAAATTTTTACAAAATTAAACTTGAAATATCATATACATTTGAAGTTCATATTAAAAGTGGGCTAAAGTGATTTATTTTAACAAATTCTACTCTCTTATCTTATCCCAAAAAATGGTCTCTATCGGTGTAATGTTTTAAAAAATATTTCAAGTTACACGGTTTATATCTCTTTAAGGATTTTTCTAAATTTCACGAAAACTATTGCTACATCTCAATGGTTAAACATGACTAGGTAAGTGTGCTTATTTTGATAAAAGAAATGTTGAACATTTTTTCAGTGTAAAAATTTTGGGTAAACTAACCATTTACAGTAAATGGAAAAATAGCTTTTATTAAATATTTTAATCTATGTTTGTAATCTGGACAGCAAATTGGTGAGGTGATGCCAACCTTGACAGCCATAATCAGTGAATTGATGCCAATCTAGACAACCAAATTGGTGAATTGATGCCAATCTGGACAGCCATATTGGAGAATTAATGCCAATCTAGACAGCCATAATGGTGAATTGATGCCAATCTGGACAGACAAATTGGTGAATTGATGCCAATCTAGACAGCCAAATTGGTGAATTGATGCCAATCTGGACAGCCATATTGGAGAATTGATGCCAATCTAGACAGCCATAATAGTGAATTGATGCCAATCTGGACAGACAAATTGGTGAATTGATGCCAATCTAGACAGCCAAATTGGTGAATTGATGCCAATCTAGACAGCCAAACTGGTGAATTGATGCCAATCTGGACAGCCATATTGGAGAATTGATGCCAATCTAGACAGCCATAATGGTGAATTGATGCTAATCTGGACACACAAATTGGTGAATTGATGCCAATATAGACAGCCAAATTGGTGAATTGATGCCAATCTAGACAGCCATAATGGGAATGAGCTGAGCTTTAAAAACATCATAATGACGCAAAAAGACTTTTGAAACAAACCTGTAAAGCTGAAACTCAAATTTGTTTTAACTTTAAAACCACTCAATCCAAAATACGATGGCAATCAGAAACAAGAGAAAGCTTTCCCACCAGGAGACATTAATTTACAAATTACTATAAATGCCATGTCTATGACGCTACGGCCTTCACCTGGGTTGACACATTGAAACAGATTCTAATTCATATCAATCAGACATTGTGTGTACAACCTCGAATTTTATGACTGATGGACAAATTAAAACTACAGATGATGTTTTCCAATTCATTTGGCTTTCTTGTGATGACATGCAATGTTCAGTAGTGACTATAAAGGGAGCTTCATAATAAATCATTTTATTTGTAAAATATCTATGATATATCACAGATGGAATTTATCCTGTTCAAACTGTGTACATAAATACATACATAATGAAAATATCTCTTTTAAAAAGACTTTTGTTTAAACAAACCTGTAAAGCTGAAACTCAAATTTGTTTTAACTTTAAAACCATAATCCAAAATATCATTGTCATTTTTTGTTTTTGTGTGTTTGTTTGTTTGTTTTTTTTTGGGGGGGGGGGGGGGAGATTTGCATTAATTAACAAATTACTATAAATTTTTCCATGTCTATGAAATAACAAAACTATGGCTTTCACCTGTAATTCTTGACACATTTGAAACAGATTCTAATTCATATCAATTAAAACCATCATTGTGTGTACAACCTCTGGAATTCTTATGAAATGGTTACAAATTAAAACTAATGATTTTAGATGTTTTCCAATTCATTTGGCTTTCTTGTGATGACATGCAATGTTCAGTAGTGACTATAAAGGGAGCTTCATAATAAATCATTTTATTTGTAATATTTGTAAAATATCTATGAGATATCACAGATGGAATTTATCCTGTTCAGACTGTGTACATAAATACATACAGTATCAGAAAATATCACTCTTTTAGCAAACATTCATGTTTATACTTCACCATCAGTCCTAGCAAGCACTGAGAACTAATATATATATATATAAACACAAACAGTTACATGTGTTCTAGTCCAATAGATTACTCTTATATAATTTTACAAAGTTTTTGGAACTCTTTCCAAAAGGAGGAAAACAACAAGGAGAGGTGTTATTAGCCTTAAGTATGAGAAAATGAACTGTTCCTATATTATATAAGACAGCTGTAACAGGTTCTGATGCCCAACCCCACTATATATTACTTCATACTATAACATTTTATGAAACTTCAACCAAATCCATCAATCCTTTCTGCAACCCAATCCATCAATCCTTTCTTCAACATCTATTTTTAACAGAAATGACTGTTGTAGTTGACCTATCGACCCCAAACACAATCCCACTCTGTATTACCTCATAACCTAACACTAAATGAAGTTTCAGTCAATCCATCTATCTTTTCTTAAGTTATCATCTGGAAACCAACATCCGGACAGTCAGACAGATGGATGGATAGACAGACAGACAGAGACAAACACTCTATTCTCCTTCAGTTTCACCAGCAAGAAAATTATTCAGATGACTCATGTATAACTGTACACAATATTTCACCATACCTTACCTTCCTGTGTACTGAGTTGGTTATAAATACCGATCAAGTTCTAGAATTCAATTTTTAAAGAATTTCTGCAGTGGTAATCTGATAATTTGATTTTTTTTTTTTTTTACAGAGCTGCAAAATGAAAGCTTATCAAATTGTGTTCATCCCCAGATTTCAATGTCTATCCCCAAAGACTTTTAATCTAGCTATCACCAAGACAGGTATCAAAACAGGTTTTCTTGTGAAGAAGACTTCCAGAAATAAAAGTACATCCTGGAAAGTACATGTATAATGGATTATACCTGTAATCCTTTAATTTTTTTTGGTAAATCCTTTTAGTGAAGTTATCATTCTTGTGATCGTTCAAAATTACCTTGCTGACCTTAAAAGAACAGATTAATATTATAATGACCATGATATAATTCTGTACAGAGATATAGATATAGATTTATGGTGAAATTGCTAAACTGACAGGAATATATGAATATAAATCAGACCATTAGAGACTAAATACAGAGTTGATTATAATAGATGACCTAACAACATATTGGTGTCCTTTTATTTTATCAACAGTCCCCCTGGGGGAAAAAAGCATAAGTGCACAGCATTGATCTGGAAGGCTTGAATATGTATGGAGTTAACACATGACAAATTTGGAGCATTTTAAAACTTCAATTTTCATTTCAATTTCTTTATATTTTCCTATAAATCCTAACCCCTATCTCCTACAAATTGAATTCTTTTGTTAGTTCTTGCAAAAAAAAATAAATAAATAAATAAAAAATGGTATTCATTGAGCTGGAAAGCCTGAATGATATGTAAAACAATTCTTGATATGTTCAACAGATAATTTACTGCTGCTTCGACAGTACCTGAATGAAAGATAGACACACAAGCACGTAGATGAATTTTAAAATTTTAGAAAAGTTTTAGAAAAAATTTTCAGAAAAACTTAACTGTTAATTATCTTCATTGTCCAATATGTCTCTAGGGAAACAATTATGTAGTTTGAAAGAGACACTAAACCTTTGTTATCCAGACTGACACGTGTGATGAACAACTTAAATGACAGGCAACAACCAGCATCACCTACATAGGGCTCATAGGGCACACACTTGTTTGAAAAAGCTTTTCCAAAACTAAAAGAAAATTAATTGTAGATGTTTATAACTGTTTCCCAATTGGGCCCCATCCCTCTATCCCAGACAGTCAAAACTTGCAAACAAAAATCTCTCTCACCCAAGGATGCTTCGGATCAAATTGGAACAGAATCCAGCCATTGAAAATTTCTGAATCATAAATAATTTGCTGTATTTCACTTATCAGGCCCTGCCTCAGGTCACACTAGGATGTTTCTATGGTAATACTTTCCTCATACAACCTATAAACTATCAATACTCTAATATCAGATCACAATCCCGCCTTTATTCGAGACACTCAGAGACAAGTTTATGGCTACACCATTCACAGATTCCAGCTTTATTTGTCTTCCTCGAAATGGAATAAGAAATATATCGTATCATAGTTAAATAACCATTAATATCTGTCACTAGACATGTATTACTATCCACGTTGAAATGAAATATTTATGAAAATAAAGTTAGATATTTATACCTGTGTTTAAAAACAGATAAAATCCATTAAAAAATAATTTTATCATCAAGACAAATACTTTTAATATCATCATTTCTAACAAACAAAGTGATTTTATCTTCCATAATTATTTATATAAAACAGCACAGCAATACATAGCATATGACAATTAAAGAGAACATGCACTACACTGTCTACAACCTGAAGCCAATGCACTGAACTAAGCTTTAAAGTGACACAGACACATGTTATATGGATATATACCCATAATATGCCCTTTTATAACAAACATTTGCTAGATTATATTGTAGATCCATTTGCCAAACTGGAGGCCCAAAATCTCTTATCAAAGCAGACAAGACAGAAGCAATGTTCCTGTCTAGTGTGTTGAGAAAAAGAAAGACAAAGCTTTCTAAGCAAAGCCTTAAGTAAATCAAGATTTATCTCAAATTTAGTGCAGTAGAAGAGGAAGTTGAAATGGATCGTCGTTTTGAAAATTTCTACACATACTCTGATATCTGTAACCTTGGAAAAGGCCATTATTTTGTAGAAAATTTGATTATTCTTCAATACAGAACAAAAATTATCAGTAACTTTCAAATCATCATTACAGACCAAATATTATCAGTCACTTTCATATCATCAGGAGTGTAATCATCATCTCACATTACAGCACTGAAATAGATGTGGGCACAGCCACCAACTCTGACAAAGCAGAGGGCTATATGAAATTGTCAAAATGGCTAATATCAGCCATTAAAAGACATTTCATACTATTCTCTTATGTATCATTACTGTAAACTTGAATGTACATCAAAATTATTATTTGACTAAAACAGTTTATGGTTTTCAAGAAGTCCCAAATTTCAGGAACAAGACATCCAAGTGGGATCTTGGCTCCCACCATATTGCTTCTTTTCCGTCCTTTCTTCCAATTTCACTCTTTAATTATATGAAAAGTGAAAATTCCTCTTGGAGAAAAGCAATCAAAATTTAATTGTCAAATCCAAGATGGTTGCCTGTCATCCATTTTGTTTATCTGATCAGTCTCAAAGTCAAAAGGGACAATAAGGAATCAAAAGGTACTTAGAAATCAAATTGGAGTGAAGAAATAGTGATAAACATTCATTATCAAAAACAAACCCGAGATAGCCATCTGTCAGCCATTTTGTTTTTCTCATCAGACTCGAGAATCAAAAAGTGCACATTTTGGGACCAAAATGTAAAATGTAAAGGATTTCTTTCAGGAACAATGGAATTTGACCCATGCACCAAATTAAATAAAATTGGGTGTTATTCTGACCAAATCCCCTAGAAAGGATAAGAATTTCCTGTCTTCTACCAGAACAATTTGTTGATACCATGATACTATTTTAAGCAGCAAGTTTCATAACGATTTCAAAGTGAACAATAAATAAAACTTAATAGAATTAAGAATTTTTAAAACCTTTAAACTTCCTTTCAAATACTTATACCTTTTTAAATACTATCCATAGAAATATCACAATCTATTAACTAACATCCAGTGCAAGTATATATCCTTTTTTTCGTTATTCTGCCAGCAAATAAACAATCACAGACTAACTTAATATAAATAAACAAATATGAAACATAATATACTAAAAACAAACCTGATGGTGTACATTAATTACACTGATATCTCCTTGTTTTTTAAAAAATTGGTTGAACTTACAGAATTTTCATTGAGAAGTAAAAACAATTTTTTTCTACAATCAATTCAAATCCTACAACTTGATCACCTGTTGATTCTATTTTATTAACATCATAATCAAATGAATTTCCCTTCAATTTATCAAATTAGAAAATTTTAAACTGAATGTCATCTAGTGCAATACAATTAAAAAAAAAAACCCAGAAACAATGAAGGGAAATATCCTGCAATGTCATTACAGGTGTCTGTTCTTGACGTCATGACAATAACATGCTCTCTAGCTATCAGCGGAGAGAAAGAGAAGATGTACACAAAATGTATCTTGTAATTACATAATCCTCTATCATTGTTCAGATACCAGTGGCTCAGCTCCCAATGAGAATCACCATGTGGAAGATTATCTGGTTAAATCCCTTTGTCTGAGACGAGTACAGAAATTATTGGAATCACATCATTTATATTCCTATACTATTGAAATATCACCAAGTGTATTTTAAATATAATATAGTAACACAAACGCAAAGTTGGATTGATGACTTTGTAAAAAGTTGTATAAAAAGTTTCATTTAGATGAAATAAGTCATTTGTGGAGCCATTATGTATATATATATAATATGCCCCCCATCCCTCCTTGAAAAAGGGGGTGGAGGGGGGAGGGGGAGGGGGAAGGGGGAGGGGGAGGGTGGCATCTAAACAATTATGTATAAAAGAATTTATAAGAGTATCAAATAATCTGACAGTTATAACACAGACCAGAAGTTATCATCATTTTACATGTTGCATTAATGTATCCTTAATCACATCACCAAGTGAGGTGTACACCAGTCGCTTCCAGTATCCCTGTGCTAGAAACATTAATCAAGGTGTGATAAGAAGCTGGGAAAATACACAAGATAATACACAACATGTTGGTTTTTACTAAGTGTTATTATCAGAAAGTACAAAACAGCCATTCTTGTTTGTCACTTCCCACCCAGAAACAACATTCAGGTCTGTGGTAACATATTGCCTCTTTGAGGAAATCCAGGATTTCCAAACAGATTAAACAATGTTATCAATTAAAGACATGAAATGTTTATTAACAGAAAAAAAATTCCTCTCCCCTCTAGTCTCCCTGTAATCCCTCTCCTCTCTTGTCTCCCTGTAATCCCTTTCCCGTCTTGTCTCCCTGTAATCCCTCTCCTCTCTAGTCTCCCTGTAATCCCTCTCCTCTCTTGTCTCCCTGTAATCCCTGTCCCCTCTAGTCTCCCTGTAATCCCTGTCCCCTCTAGTCTCCCTGTAATCCCTCTCCTCTCTTGTCTCCCTGTAATCTCTCTCCACACTGTCTCCCTGTAATCCCTCTCCTCTCGTCTCCCTGTAATCCCTCTCCTCTCTTGTCTCCCTGTAATCCCTGTCCCCTCTAGTCTCCCTGTAATCCCTCTCCTCTCGTCTCCCTGTAATCCCTCTCTTCTCTTGTCTCCCTGTAATCCCTCTCCTCTCGTCTCCCTGTAATCCCTCTCTTCTCTTGTCTCCCTGTAATCCCTCTCCCCTCTCCTCTCTAGTCTTCCTGTAATCCCTCTCCTCTCTAGTCTCCCTGTAATCCCTCTCCTCTCTTGTCTCCCTGTAATCCCTTTCCCGTCTTGTCTCCCTGTAATCCCTCTCCTCTCTAGTCTCCCTGTAATCCCTCTCCTCTCTAGTCTCCCTGTAATCCCTCTCCTCTCTTGTCTCCCTGTAATCCCTCTCCTCTCTAGTCTCCCTGTAATCCCTCTCCTCTCTAGTCTCCCTGTAATCCCTCTCCTCTCTAGTCTCCCTGTAATCCCTCTCCTCTCTAGTCTCCCTGTAATCCCTCTCCTCTATAGTCTCCATGTAATCCTGTAATCCCTCTCCTCTCTTGTCTCCCTGTAATCCCTCTCCTCTCTAGTCTTCCTGTAATCCCTCTCCTCTCTCGTCTCCCTGTAATCCCTCTCCTCTCTTGTCTCCCTGTAATCCCTCTCCTCTCTAGTCTTCCTGTAATCCCTCTCCTCTCTAGTCTCCCTGTAATCCCTCTCCTCTCTCGTCTCCCTGTAATCCCTCTCCTCTAGTCTCCCTGTAATCCCTCTCCTCTCTTGTCTACCTGTAATCCCTCTCCTCTGTCCTCTCTAGTCTCCCTGTAATCCCTCTCCTCTCTAGTCTCCCTGTAATCCCTCTCCTCTCTAGTCTCCCTTTAATCCCTCTCCTCTCTAGTCTCCCTGTAATCCCTCTCCTCTCTAGTCTCCCTTTAATCCCTCTCCTCTCTAGTCTCCCTGTAATCCCTCTCCGCTCTTGTCTCCCTGTAATCCCTCTCCTCTTTAGTCTCCCTCTAATCCCTCTCTTATCTAGTCTCCCTGTAATCCCTCTCCTCTCTAGTCTACACAACAGCTCTTTCCTTTTTAGTCTTCCCAGCTCCTCTCCTGTCTCCCAAACCCCTCTCTCCTTTCTTATCTCTAAAACCCCTCTTTCCTCTCTTCTGTCTCTCCTTATTACCACTGGAGGCAAAGGGGATAGATTTAAGAAACAGAATTTTGAGGGGAAGGAATTAAAAATTTATAGGAAACGAAGCACCATAAAGAATGGTAGAAAACCGAAAAAGAAATATTTTAAGGCAAGATATAATAGTTTCAACAGAGTTTTCATTAACGTTATAGGAAAAACGAAAAGACGTAAACTTTCGTTATACGAATAATGTCTTTTTCCATGAGAAACCATTTACAAGACCGTTAAAACGTTCACATTCTACAGGTAGATTACCCTTATAATCCCACTAAGGACCCAAAGTTACGCAACCTTTGTAATTCTACACAATTCAGCTTCTGGAAAATACATTCTGACTTGAAAAATAAATAGATCACAGATCCATTGGGAGTTTTTGTTATTTTACACAATAAATTATCTCTCACTGAACATTTTTCATTGCGATGTTGACTCAGGTGTTAATAGCTGCAGATGCTAATTAGGTCTAATTGAATGGTTTTTGAAAGATTTTTCTGTAAAAACAAATCTGCTGAAATATCACCTGAAAGCAGTCAACTTTCAGACCCAAAATTTCATTATGAAATTTACCATAGAAAGAAGATATGTCAGCACATTCCTTTTCTTTGTGATTTTTTTTTATTTGTTAGTAAATAAATTTAATTATTTCAATAAATAGTATTAGTGAACGCTTTTTTTTATTATAGTGTGTTTGTAGGGTGCCTCAGTATCTGTGATGATTACAATGACTCCTGTGATGTGACCCTGTGTGAGCTTCAGACCACTTTCCCCTATTGTATTCTCCTATTCGTACTGAATATTAGTAGGAAAACACACTGGTAATAGGTAATTTGACCTGCCATAAGTTTAGTTATTTTTGTAAAGTATAAATGTTTAGTTCCTTTCTGTAATCTGAGGTTAACACAGCATCAAGTAGCAACAGATGAATTTACTGAAGACTTATGAAAATTCTTCCATAAATTATGAATAATTTGAAATATAATTATGATTTTGAATTATAAATTCAGGCCATAAGACTAGAATTGTATAACTAGCATTAGTTCTTTAATATGGTCCCAATTAAAAGTTCTTCAGTTTGTCAAAATAAGCTGACTACGATATTTTTCATTCTTGTTTCTTTTTTTTTCATTTTTATTCTGATTCTACCTGTGCACTCCTGTTCATGTTCACATTAAGAAATATCTTCTCAAATCTAATGAAAACATTAGTTAAAATAACCAGACCATGCCAGGCAGCTGTTAACAGAAAGTCGATCCTTTTACCAAGGTATGTGATTGTACTTTTTCATTGTGACAGATAATCACCTGTGATTTCATCAAGGTAGCTATGGTAATCAATCGTGATACCGTGCTATAACACTGTAACAGTTCCATGTCATTTGGCCATTTACCAACCAATCCTGTTACAGAGAGACTTATCGCTGATTCAAACACGATGATCTCACTTTCATTTTGTAAAACCTTTATATTTTTCCTGTATACTGATGATCAGATCACCTAGTCAGCGTCCATTTCAGCAATGACTAAGTATGCCTGCAGTAAATTGGTATGCTGTTTTCAACTGGTAACAGGATATGATTCAAAACAAGTTTCCTCTCCAACAAGAAAAGAATAAAAAAACCTATGAGTGTTTATTTGAATCATACCGCTTAAAAAAATGATTAACTTATTGAACAATTGGCCTGTTACAAGAGTATCAGTGAAAGAGATGAATGCTCCCTGAAAATGACTTTATTGGACACAAAATTTCATTAAAGGGCAATAATTCTAGAACTGAGAAGTTGCAGGACCCGAATTTGGTATACTGTGCATTCTCTTAGTATGACAAGTGTTTACACCAAGTTTAAATAATTCCTAATTTATGCCAAAGAGAGTTATGGTTCTTGTACTCTGCACTTCTCCTTATCGAGAAGTTTCATGTTGATTTTGTGATATGCTCCAGACAAAATAATACCGATGGACAAATGGACGGACGGATGGATGGTTGGACAAACAGACAAGCATTGACCATATGCTCTCCCTTCAGGAAGCATAAAAAATGCTTCATGTCCCAATCCCACTCTTATCTCCATTTTTAGTATCGCCACCTCACCTTATTTCATCAGATCAATATGATAATGACCAGAGGACTGATCTGTTCAAATCATGAAAAATGCTAGAATCACCAACTACTTCCTCACTTTAGTTCAGAATTGAAAAAATTCAAAATCAATTTTTGGATCAAATTTGGTCAAAAAATGTTCAACCATTACATGAAGCATCATCTAAATACAGTGATAACTACAGAGTAGAATTGATAATAAACTGTATTTTCTTCGATGGATGTTTAAAACACTATCATCCTTAATTTTTAAGGGCTATGACCCAATATGGCAAGAGGTTTGAAACACTGCTCTTCACTCTAGTGAGTATTCAGTACTCATTGTTGTCATCCCTGGTGTTTTCCTTTTGGCTCCGTTCCTTGCATGTGTCCCCAGTTATAACTGATTTTGTGTGTTGTTGATTTATATTGCTCTCTCCCATTTGGGTTTGTGTGTTTTTGGTTTTTAAATATTGTCTCTACTTTGGTTAAGTGTGTTCTTAGTTTTAATTGTTGTTTTCACTTTGGTTTAGTGTCACCTCAATTCCAATATCATTAATGTATACTGATGAACAAAGTTTTCCGTTTAATTTTTACAGCACAAATAAACAAACCAAAATCAATGGAAAAACAGCCACCTTATTTATCTCACTCATTTTTAAGTCCGTGACTGGTCATGAAACCAACTCGTGTAAAAACTTAACCTCACTAACAATGATATCAAATTCTATATCGTCTTTCTACCACTGAAAATATTTCCTCAAGAACATTCTACATGTTATGTAAACTTACAATTCCGGAAACCGTTAGCCAAGTAACATATATGATGACTGATGAATACTTTTGTTTACAGTAATAAATTCAGTGAATGACCCAAAAAGCAATTAAGGCTGTATGTTATGATTAATTAGAAACAAAGACTAACGGAAGCGTCATTCATGATGTGATGATTGCCATTCATAAAGATCAATAGGACACACAGAATCTACATTACGTAACCACAAATATTCTACATCTACAGGAAAGAATTTTTTTGTACTTGAAAACGAAAATGGTTCCACAGTGTCTAGGAAGTCTATATACTTATTACAGTATGTTTTTGTTTTTGACGGCAAATGAACTGGTTTATATCTGGGAACAATAATTTCCTGGAACCCTTTCCTAATAAGAAAACTCAACACATAATGTAAAAAAAAAAAAAATTAAAAAAAATTCAGCAATGTTTTCCCATCACTTGTATAAAATAATGTTATTCACTGTTACAATCTTTTTGCTGATGTAGTTATTTCAGGATAAAAGAAAACCTGTTTTCCTGTGTTACAGTCTTTATCTTAAGTCTGCTGTATAATCAGAAGTCATATTTTGATGTCCTTCATTTCTATTCAAATATTTCATCTGTAATAGTTGGTATACCAGCATTATCTAACAGAATATCACCCATACAAACTAACTACAAGTCTACAGAGTGAGCAGAATATCACCCATACAAACTAACTACAAGTCTACAGAGTGAGCAGAATATCACCCATACAAACTAACTACAAGTCTACAGAGTGAGCAGAATATCACCCATACAAACTAACTACAAGTCTACAGAGTAGACAGAATATCACCCATACAAACTAACTACAAGTCTACAGAGTAGACAGAATATCACCCATACAAACTAACTACAAGTCTACAGAGTAGACAGAATATCACCCATACAAACTAACTACAAGTCTACAGAGTAGACAGAATATCACCCATACAAACTAACTACAAGTCTACAGAGTGAGCAGAATATCACCCATACAAACTGACTACAAGTCTACAGAGTGAGCAGAATATCACCCATACAAACTAACTACAAGTCTACAGAGTAGACAGAATATCACCCATACAAACTAACTACAAGTCTACAGAGTAGACAGAATATCACCCATACAAACTAACTACAAGTCTACAGAGTGAGCAGAATATCACCCATACACACTAACTACAAGTCTACAGAGTGAGCTGAATATCACCCATACACACTGACTACAAGTCTACAGAGTGAGCTGAATATCACCCATACACACTGACTACAAGTCTACAGAGTGAGCAGAATATCACCCATACAAGCTAACTACAAGTCTACAGAGTGAGTAGAATATCACCCATACAAGCTAACTACAAGTCTACAGAGTGAGTAGAATATCACCCATACAAACTATCTACAAGTCTACAGAGTAGACAGAATATCACCCATACACACTGACTACAAGTCTACAGAGTGAGCAGAATATCACCCATAC